TTATATATATGTGTAAACGTATTTAATTTAGTTTTTTTTTTTCAGCTATTCAGTTACTTTTTAAGTGCCGGCGCAAACAATGAGCTTTTGTTTCGCCAAAACAAAATAAACACGCTCTTATATAAACAAAAATGTACTGAATGAAAGGCGTTAACTGGTAGTTAAAACAAAAAGCAATGCGGGTGCGTGTCGCCTGTCGGTCCAGACGCAGCCGCTCAAGGAGGCATCAGTCGTTATTATTGACTTGCTGCCGCTTGTCACCCACAGCAGCTGACCCACTTGCCACGCCCAGATGCCGCACAGCGCCCTCCCAAGGGGCGGGCTAGGAGGGGGTAGACATCAAACGCCCATTCAATTAACATGCAACACCGTGTTTGACATCATGCAAGGTCAGTAGCCGCGGCTCTTGACTGGATGCGAAGTGTGTGTTTTAAGTATTTCGGACTTGACTCCGCTGCTGACTCAGTATCGGTCATTTGGCGAATCAGATGCGACAATCTAAAGACAACTAATGCCAAGCGCACTTTGCATACTAATCAATTAATGAATTAATTGCCTAGACACACACGGATGATGAGCTCGAACTGGACTGGAAATTAGATCCCAAAAAAAAAAAGCAGAAAAAAAACGAATACAAAAACACACACATTGCACAATGCGAAGGCTGTTCCGGAAACAATTGCGGAAGCATATCGATTTGTTTATGCCCATTAACATGAACATTATTGTTGTTAATAATATTATAATTATTATAAAGCAATAAGGTACGAAAATATATTACGTGCTACGGTATTTGTGTACAAAACGAGTTTCATGCATTTTTAATGCTCATTGTACATTATTTGTTTGGACGAAATACATACGTATGTATGTCTGTATGCTGGGCTCGCGATTTGCATTGCAATGGATCAGCTTATGGGCGCACACCCTGTAAAAGTAAAGAGAAAAAAAATAAAACAGATAAAAATCACACAACTCAAATGATACAATGTCTTCCAGGTATTTGTACTTTAAAACGGCGACATGTCGAGTGTTAACAATGAGATTACAAACACGTCAAGCTAATGGCAACAAACGAGGCATGACTTAAGATGCCAAATCGTATTATACCCTGTAACCAATCTTAATTGAGAAAAAAAAAACAGTATATTGAATCCGTCTGAATGCAACTATTATTTAAACAACTATTTCCATAACTCGTAAGATAAGATTTGACATAGTCTTGAAATCGATAAATATCGATTTACATCAACGCTTTAACGAGCAAATTTTCGAGATATCAAATTTGGAATAAAGCTTCAGCTTTGAGCTGTCTGATCACACCTTGAAAATCCATCTTTGACACCTGCACAAAAACGAAATAAAATATTTGGTTTTGTTATCTACAAATAAAGTTTATTTGATGTGGGAAAGGAACGAGCAGCATATAGGGTATCTTTTGGCCAGGCACTTTTCAAAATCTAACTTGCCTTGCTTTTTTAATGTATTTTGTATACCCCCTTCCGTCATCACACTGGCATATAGATTATATATACTCCTGTGTCTATATAACTTCTTAGCCAATCATAAAAACAATTGAACTTTGGCCAATGTTTTACGAATAAAACATGCGTTTCCATATTTATCTATAACTTCACATAATCTCAGCCTTCGGCATTGTGTACATAGTACGTCACATGTTACGTATATCTACCTGGTATCTAAGAAGGTGCTTGTAACTTGTGGCCACAAATTAAAGATACACGGGGGCAACAGATTAACAACCAATCAATTTAGACAATTACGTCAAATTGATAAATAGAAACAGACGACTTTTGCTTTTAATCACAAAATAACGAACTTAATAAAACGCCTTAGACCAATTACACATGCCGCTAAATGTTAATTAACGCTCAAAATTTTCCATAAATCAATGAACGACAATCTATCCCATGCATTTAATTAAGTCACTAAAACTGAACGTGAACTAAATGAAACACTTTTCAAAATGCGACGCACGTGAAAATTGCATTTCAATTTGTACCTCAAAATTTTCCACTGGCCCACTGAATGGAACAAGTGACAACGACAATCGAGCGTTTCATATTTTATGGACAGGCAACAAAATCGAGTGCAATAGCAACAACAACAACAATGTCCACTTGAAACAAGTTAATAACAAAACTCCATGATCTGACTTAAAGAGACGCCTCAAGGCGACGACAGCAACAACGGCAGCCACAACAAACACAGACACTAAGTAATTGCCATGTTAAAGTACTCTCAGCCATCGTCCCGCTGGCCTGCAATGTAGGGAACCCAGCCAAGCAGCAGCAGCGGCAGCAGACCTCTCTTTAAGGCGCCTCACAAATTCTTAGCTTGCCATGTTCAATGCACTCCAATTTGACCAGGTCTACTCTTTCCGCCCGACACCCCCTACCAAATTGCAGTAGCAGTGAAAAAGTCAACTGCAAGCGCTAATGTTGATCGTAATGAGCTTGATGAGCATGCTGATAATGATGCTGCTGGCAGACACTCTGTCTCTTGTTTATACAGGGTGTTCAAGAGAAGGCCACATTAGTTGACTACAATAAGCAACGCCTTTTTAATTTGGGCAAAATATTATTTATTCCTTACGTTATTCATTACGTTAGCTTGGGATTTGAGCCAGCGTCCTTCTATTAAGATGTATTGCTATCAAGTTTGCCAAGTTTCGATTTTTGAAATTGGAATGTTAAGAAAGAATTTAACCAAGCAGCAAAACTAAATGAAGGCAAAAGTAAATCAAATCGATTGGTTGCATCATTTAAGCTGCATTTGGGCATAGCTAAAGTACTATTTTTTTACAATAATAAATACAAATAACTAGAGTAAATTGAGATTTCTCAACTGCATTAGTTTATAAATATAAACAAAAAATATTTGCATTGAAATTTTTAAACCCAAAACGAAGTCGTACAAAACAAAGAAGTAAATTGAATATTCAACCAACTTTATTTGAAATCTTGTTTTCTCGTTTGGTCATGAACAACAATATGTCCATAATTTATGCTCAAGAACACTTTGAATTTGGCTTTTGAACTTCTTTTCAAGTTCGTTGCAACAATTTGTTGCTACGCTTGGATAAAATGTAAATAAAACAAGCGGGTTTCACGCATTCACAGATCTTCTAGGCCAATGTAAATCATGGCTTATCAGTTCTAATTTCAATACTAATGTTTATCAGACTGCATTTAATCTTAATGAGCCTTAAGTAGCTACCGTTTTTTCACTGCTGCTGTTGCTGCTGCTGCTGCGGCGGCGGGCGTTGCCACCCTGTGCGCGCAGCGGCAACGCTGCGTATGAGCAATGCAATGCACAGGCAGACTTGTCTCGCTGTAAATGCCCAAAACTGAATGGTGTAGAAAGCACGCACACACACAGACACATACTGAGTGAGAGAGAGGCCGACTTCGCCCCAACTGCGTCACGGTGTCGTTTATTGTCCGTTGCGATAATTGCTCGCCCACTCTTGTCCCCGCTCCGCTCACGCAACGGACAATCGTCTGTGTGAGTGTGTGTAAGTATTTGTGTGTGTGCTTTATAGCCGGCAACAGCGGCCGCAGCAGCAGCAACAAATTCAAGCAGCAACATTGGCTTAATATCAGTCACTAACTGATCGCCAGAGCGTTAACAACAACGCAAACGCAAGCGCAGCCGCCGCAGCAACAGGAGCCGCAGCTTAGAAAAACGCGCGCGACTTTTAACGCGCAGCATAGCATTTAGTGACAAAATAAAAAGTAACCGTTAGCCATTCACAACAGCCGTTTAAATAATAGACTTTGTGTAAATTACAATTAGCTTGCGGCTAATTAAAGTCTAGTTTTGGTGTTTACAAAACGCGCGCGATTCATAGGCGTTTCTCGTCCATGCGATTTGTGCGGGCGTTAATTAACGCAAAGGTGCAACAAAATTAGGAACTTTAAAAGAAAAAAAAACAATCACAATTCGTGTCAATGTTAAGCACAAACAGTTTGTCAAAAGCATAAACAAATAACACGAGCATTGTGCAAATCATTTTGAATATAATTATATTAGCAACAGTTGCGAAAAGGTAATTCAAATAAAGTCCGCTAAATGCAGATTTGCATAAGAGCCTTACACATATTTACATATTTATGGCAACAAGCTAAAAGAAAATACAGTTGTAACGGGCGTGTGAACTAAATTTGTTATAAATAAATTTAATAAAAAACTATTATTAATATAGTTCAGCTGAACAAAATTAGATTAGTTAACATAACGTAAAAGAAAAACATTTTTTTTAATATTTTTTATGAAGATCAAATATTTTTAAAAGCAATAATTTTTCACACTTAAATGTCAGAAAATATAGCCCACTAGAGAGTGCAATAAACAAAACAAAACAAACAAATTTAGCACAAGTTAATAGAACTAGTTGAGAATATAATTTTCTAAATTACATATTTTCAACGATGTAAATTATATATTTTATCTATGTCACAGAAATGCAATCAGCAAGCACAAATTAATGCCAGTCACGTGGTGTCTAGAGACAAGTGAAAATTGAAAATCACAGTTCGCATCTAATTGAATGTTTGGGCCAATTTGATATAGAATTTTATATGGATGCCAAACTGAAAGTCAGTGGCCCCGAGATCTGATAAGAGGCGACAACAACTTGATTTTGGTATCGTAAACAATTATTGACTTAGTTTTATCTGTCAGCTACTTAGCTTTTTTAATGGCATTCATAAACCCAAGCAATAATGTATGCGCTGTGTTCTCGACGAACTTACATAATATCGGGGCAAGGCTTTGTAAATCGCAAGCGCGATTTCAATATGCAAGTTCAATAAGACGAGTACGTCAGCTGCCTCATTAATTATGCGACGCATGCGTACACCTTTTTTTTTTTTTTTTTTGCATATCGAAAGTGAACCCCTTTCAAACAGAGGGGGGTTCCATTTTTGACACTGAGCTAAAATGAAAAGGCATTTAATGCCACTTGAGCATTGATGTATTGCTTTATTGACAGACAGTCTGTCGTGCTGGCAACAAGTTTGAGCCACAGATCCCAAGCACGTGAATCGCAGCGGCAGAAGCAGTTAATAAAAACAAAACACGAAACAAGAAACAAGAAACAAGAAATGAGAAACTCACGACAAAAAGGAGCCAAGCTGGCTTTTTGCTTAATTTGGCTTTAATGCAATGCATTGAGCCAAAAAGCGCAGCGCTACGACAGATCCTAATTGAAATTCAATTAACAATTAACATTTAACGGTAATACTTAAGCCCCCAGCAATTTGGCAGGGCTTTGCTCGAGATGGTAGTTTAATTATAAATAACTTAATGAGGAAGGTAAAGAGAAGGTGCGGTTCGTATGAAGGTGGCATATATAATGCTGCCAAGAGCAGCTGAGAAAAATGTTTAAATGATGCTTCAAGATGCTTCTTATTCCAACACCAAATGCAGTTTGAAGTCATATAGATAAATAAAAAAAATTACCCTTGGCAACTGACCGCATTTCTTGCTGACGACTCTACTCAACTTCGGATCGAAAAGTTAAGATTAAAGAAACCCTTCCTAAAAAATTCCACTCATTCATAAGCACCTCAATATTATTGAATTAACAGATTCCCAAGCTGCAAAAGCTACCATGAGCTGATTTTTTATGGCAAGTCAAATAATTAATTAGCGGAATCTTTTCACTTATATCTCTTGTTCCGTTCCGCTCATTAGTCCAGAGATTCGACGGTATCCTGGTACCTGATGTCATTGCCAGTTTAGCATAATCATAAAAGCTAAACTAGTGACGCAGTTTGGGTAAATGTGTAATTAAATTATGGATGTCAGCGCGGCGAGGCAATGATTATAATGCCATGCCAATCAAGCGTTAATAAACATAAATAATAGATCTATATAGGTGGACAGTGATATGACACCGAGAACTAATCAAGTGCCCGTTATGATTCATGATCCTATCGAACCCGTGATGTCGTAAAAATCCAAAACGACTCCGACAGTCAGAATAATTATTAATAATAATCGGCGACTGCCCAATGCCCAAATAAAATACAATGTCAACACCCGGCATGTCAAGATTGCATAAAGTACGACCCATTTTAATCGGGCCGTAAACTTTTATTAAGCCAATTTCCCCCGAACTGGGTAACTACCAGACATGATTGGGACACTCTGGCCGGTAAGATATAGGATTATTGACGGTGTCATAATTTTAAAGCGTGTCAATGTCGCACACACAGATAAATAAATGTTTAAATGCATGTACTATATCAATATATTATGTTTTATGTTTTATATATATATTTTTTTCCTAATTGCTTGGTACTTAAGCTGACTAATCTTATCGAGCTGCAACGATAAATAATACTTGTACGATTTCCCAATCGTATCTCTATTCTGATACGAACAACACTCAATGGCAATTATTATAAAATAAACTTTTCATTTCGCTTGCGAAATACTTAAAGAAATATTACTTAAATAGCGCAAATCCTTTAAATTAAATGTAATATCAAGTAATACCCAGATCTTGGCGTACTTGATCAAATCTAAGTTCTTCCAGTTCGCCTTTGGGCCGGCTCGGGAGCGTTCCTGCAGGCGCTTATCGCTGTTATCAGCTATCAGATACAACGTTATAATTGATTTTAAAGGTAGCTTTGAGTATTTATGACGAGCATTTCCAAATGCTGTTTTTTTTTCTGAGTGCTTTATTAATTACCACTGCTTGGCATTTGCCTTTAGCCGTGTTATCATTGGACACTTGCTTTCCAACACCTTCTCTGGGCCCAGTCCCACCATTGGCGCCGGCCGAACATTCAGTTGCTTTTGGCCCGAGAGCGTGTACGGTTCTAACTCAAAACTTTTTCGCGAATATCAGACGAATATTATAGCCAGAACGTAAGTTGTCCTAGACTCGTAACAAGCAGAAAGCAGGGGATTGAAGCAATAAAACTTTTGAAAATATAACAAAATTATAGATTATCTTTTAAGTAAGAATTTGTAGTTTTTATCAGAACTATTTTAATTGTATGACCACAGTACATTCAGAACCAAAAAAATAGATATCACAAAAATATTAATAAATTTGGAACCAAGCAAAATATGTTTACGTATTAACATAACATTATTGATTATCTGTTAGAAGCAAATAAATGATAAACAGGAAATCCAAATAATCTGTTTTTCGAGAAAATAAATCTCCTATAATATTCCAATAAAATATTGCAATAGTACTTTGCACACTTGAAGGTAAACAATAGTTAAATCCAATCTGAAATCCCTTTTAATTAAACTAAATTTCACTCTCTTGAAAATCGTTTTAAGCTTAAACTTGTTGAGAATTGCAACGAATTAAAAGATGAAAATTAGCAAAACGAGCTGCAGCTTTGTTTGCATTTTCCTTCCAAGAAATTGTTTTGAAATGAACAGATTTCATGGCTTTTGAACCCTGGCTAACTGGAGCTCCTTCTGGTTCTAGCCACGTGCGTCTTGAGTGCGTCTCGAATCTAATCAGTAACTAAATGTTCATGTTAGAAGTGTGGCTAACCCAATACATTAATACTACTTAGTAACTAACATAGTCATGTAGCACTTGAGAAAAAGCCATAAATAATATTTACCAGCGATTAGTTGGCTAATCAAATTTGCCTATTCCTCAAATGAAATCGTCGGGCCTCGGCCTTCTTGAACTCTGAAGGAGTGACCATGAAAAATATTATTATGCACTCTATATGGCCGACAGTTTATGTGCCCAAATGGCTAGCTAATTTTGAATGGGTTTTATGAGGGTTCAATATCGGAATTACAACCACTTTGGCCGTAAACGTAGAATAAAATTTATGAATGCAGTCCACACGTCAACCAACTGGCCGGATGATAAACCCGCTGGACGGCCCAGCAAATCAGATAACGATCGTGTGTTTGTTATTCGCATAGCTCTACGAGAGGGACAACTGCCCCGCATTCTGTGTAATATTGTGTTAAAGCTTATACTTGAAATTGGCAACGATAAGATATGACTGGCATGCGCCTGGCGAAACTCTCGAATGGATTAGCCCTCGCCAGCTGAATCAAAGCCATTAAACATCAGGCCCAACAGCGTTCATTACATATGTCAAACGATTTCTACCACCCACAGATGACAGATAATAAGGCATATACGCCGGACACGGAGCCCGCCGGTTCAAATGAGGTGCCGGGATCTAGCTCACACCTGCCGATAGCACCGCCCGCTTATACCGCTGCGGTAGTCCCGTTGAATGACTTCAACTCCAAGTGAGTAGCAGCTGTTCCAACATTTAAACAGCTTTAATACTCTCTCTCTCTCTCTCTCTCTCTCTCTCTCTCTTCCCCTTCTCGTCGCAGAGCCAACTTGACGGAGAAGGATCAGCTGTCCCTGGAGGAGGCCGCCTACAGCCCGTTCGATAATCGCGATCCCAATGGCGCCAGCGCTGGCGGCGCTCTGGCGCATCTGCTCAAGAGTTCATTGGGCACCGGAATTCTGGCTATGCCCATGGCCTTTCACAATGCTGGTCTGGTCTTTGGCGCCGTCATGACGCTCATCGTGGGCTTCCTCTGCACGCACTGTGTGCACATTTTGGTAAGTGACAGTGCTGCCCATTTGTGTAAAGAAAATAAGAGCTAACTCTAGGCGGAAGGTGGCTAAGAAAATGGCTACCGTCCACAAAATCGCTTTTTTAAGTAACCGAAGAAATCGCAAATTTTAAGTAACCGAAGAATTATGTCTATTGAATTGTTTTCTAAACGATTTCTGGGCTTGGCCCTTGCGTATGAATGCGAAAAAAACTACAACATATATAAAAGCTCATTGAGAAAGTAAAACCCATTTACCGGGAAATAAGCAATCGACCAAGAAATTTATCAATCCAATTTTTAACACCTGCTGTTGCTATTGACGCACTTGAACGGTGCAGATTTTGATGCTTCACTTAACTAGTTCAAGGCAATTGACAAAGCCCGATAAGAGGGCGTAACAAAGTTGGTTCGCGTTTAAAAACGCGTGCAAAACGCCACAATGAAACGCCAAAACGGCTGGAAATTATCATTAGTAGAGAGTCTGAAGTTTTTATGAATAAGCTAGAGCAGTATTTATAGTAGATGTCCTCAAAAAAAAAACTATTTCCTAGAAATAAAGTGCTATAAACACCACACGCCTGATAAAAAGCACGCACGAAATCGGCCTATAAATAATGCAAAATTCTTGGCTAAATCAGCACACAAATCCCGGAAAATATATTAAGCCACTCGAGTCGCAGATTTATGGCTTAAGATTCAATTGGGATTAACGAAAAGGTGCAAGTAACGATTGGACTCTAGCTGTGTCCGTATAGATATGGGGCTCTTATCTGGAGTTACGCATACGACTTGCTAGTGAGACTTACTTATTACGTACTTATCGGTTTGTTGTTCCGCAATGCAATGTTGTTCCCAATGACTATACAAATCGGTGCCCGATAATCGTTACCATGGTTAGTATAAAGTGCCTAGCTGTTTATAGAGTCTCCTCTAACCGAGTGCATTTCAAGAAAGGCGTCAACAAGTCCGCAATTTCTAATCGGGCAAACAAATAACTCAAGGACTTTAAGGGAGCTTCAATGTGTGTAGTTTTAAGAGGTCTAACAAAGTAGCAAAGGGTTTTTCCAAGTCATGGCATTGTTTTTAAAACTGATTTTGGATCATAGAAAAATAGCTTTGTTTTGATTTCAGAATAGAATTTAAAAGAAATTAAGAAAAACATTTGATTAAGACTTACCCTATACCCTATTTAATTGAAAAATATTCCTGAATTTGTAATTTGATTTTCCATATTCTTTTCCCGCACTTTTTAGGTGAAAACATCTCACAACATTTGCCGAGATGCCAAAGTTCCAGCATTGGGTTTTGCGGAAACTGCCGAAAAGGTGTTTGAGTATGGACCGAAAGCGATACGACCCTATTCCAATTTTGCCAAGTAAGTGTTCGCGAAGGTTATTATCAAATATTGAGCAACTAGGCGCCACGCCCTTCTTTCGTTATCGAGCTGGTGAAATATTAATTGGAAATTTAATTAGAAATGTTTGCCAAATGATGAGATACTTGTTAAGGCTTATATTCGCATCAATATCCAATTATTCTAAATACTTATTATCTTACAAATGTATATTACCCAAGATAAGATAACTGGATTTGATACATGCAAAAGTTCTTAGCTTTGAAAGAGACATGCAGAAATACCCTTTCATATAAGTATATGCAAAAATTTTGACAAAACAAGCGGAATTGAATTATTTTCCGAGAACTTTTTTTTCCTATATCACTTAACAACTTTTTATATGATTTATATAATTGAAATTTAATCTGTAGAGTTGAATACACTTTCATTAATTACTTTCACACATCGTGACCAAATTTCAATAATGCCCCCCCACAAAGTTTCTGATAACTTACTTAGAGTATAATTAATGGGTATTTTTCTGCTATCAGTTCGCTAAGGACTTAGGAGGTGTTTCGAATGTAATGCTGATAACTGTTCATTGCAGGCAATTTGTGGATATTGGCCTGATGGCAACCTATTATGCAGCCGCCTGTGTCTATATGGTCTTCATAGCGACCTCCTTCCACGATGTCATCAACTATGATTTGGGCCTCAAATGGGATGTGAGAATCTATATTGCCATGACTGTGATACCCTGCCTGTTGATCGGTCAGATCAGGAACCTTAAATGGCTGGTGCCCTTCTCGCTGATGGCGAACGTGTTCATTGTGGTCACCTTTGCCATAACCCTCTACTACATGTTCGATGAGACGCTGGACTATTCAGACAAGCCTCTGCTGGCGCCCGCAGCGCACATACCCCTGTTCTTTGCCACCGTTATCTTTGCCATGGAAGGCATTGGTGTTGTCATGCCCGTGGAGAACTCGATGAAGAAGCCACAGCAATTCCTCGGCTGTCCCGGAGTCCTCAATACAGCCATGATCACTGTGGTGCTGCTCTACACAGTCATTGGTTTCTTTGGCTATGTGAGTAGCAGAGCTCCGAAGTGGAAATGAACTAGTTGCTCATAGCTTTTCGTTTTATATGTTCACAGGTGAGATTTGGTGACAAGGTTCGCGGCAGCATTACGCTAAATCTGCCTGATGGCGCCTGGCCGGCCGATACGGCCAAGCTTCTGATGGCTGTGGCCATTCTTTTCACCTATGGTCTGCAGTTCTATGTGTAAGTAGAATATGCTACAATGAGAATCATTTTTTCAATTTCCCCTCCATCTCCTCTTGCAGGCCCAATGAGGTGCTGTGGCGCAAGATCCAGCACAAGTTTAATCCGGAAAGGCATAACATAGTGCAGATTCTGCTGCGCACTGGCATTATTCTGGTCAGCGGCGGCATTGCAGCGGGCATTCCCAACCTGGAACCGTTCATCAGTTTGGTGGGCGCCGTCTTCTTCTCGCTGCTGGGCATCTTTGTGCCCAGCTTTGTGGAGACTGTATATCTGTGGCCCGATCGTCTGGGCTGCTGCAAGTGGAAGCTGATCAAGAACATTCTCTTGGGCGTTTTCTCTCTGCTGGCACTTGTCGCCGGCGCCGCAGCCTCCATTGATGAGATGATAAATCCCAAAGAGGAAAATTAACAATTGTCCATATTTGATATGCCACAACACTTAACTAGTATTAAATGAGATGCAGGTGCTCCAATTGGAGAGCGAGTGAGTAGTTCTAAGTGCAGCAGCCCCACACACAAACACACAAACACACACACACACATCCACACAGATCCAGATCCACACCCAGACACAACTCCCAAAAAGAAAGACATGTTGAACATGACTGAGCAGCTGCCGCTGGACTGCATTGAAAAGATGATATTAATTCTTAAGCCCTAGCACCGATTCTGCACATATATGTTTGTCTTATGTGTGCCTAGTTAGTACCTGTATCTATACATATACACACATATATATACGCACATATATATGTACTTGTATTTAAACTAAGAATTTATAATCTTACACACTAAGCTAAAAAGCCATCTTTTGTACGCGTTAAATACAATAAAAATGTTGAAAGTTTTATAAATATGTAAATCTTAAAAGCTTTCTTTATATTTTCGGACTTAATCTGAACTTTCTAGAACTATTACCATTTCTTTCCATTTCCACAGGGCTTTACTTTTCGATAAACGCTTTTTGTAGCATATTTTTTGGGGTCTGTTAAGAGAACAGATTGTGCTCATATGTTAACAATGATAATAATTTGCCACATAAATGTGTAAAAATCCACTATGCCCCCTTTTTTCATTTATCCGTTTTTAATGGGTATACGGCATTAAATTGAGATTTTTTTTTTAACATGATTAGGTTAATTTATGCATTTTAAATGCAAAAGAATGGGACGAATCAAGCTTCAGATCTAGATCTGCGTTCAAGAATATGAAAAATGTATTTCATAAACCAACTCTTGACGAGAGTTGTTGGTTCGAACCGTGAGCGGAAAAAGTGTACAATTTTCTTTGGGTGGGACTTGGTAATGGGTAAAGGCTATACATACCATATTTTCGCTCAGCTCCAAGAGGGAAACTGTTGCTTCAAATTCCTTTGCTCCTTTTTGTTTATAGACTTGTTCGTTTTTCACAATTCCTCCTCCGCTCCGATCACATGAAGCCGACTTAACAAAAAGCCAAGCGTGTTGCCATGTGGATATGTGATTAGCAATTAATAAGTTAAGGGAAAAACGGAATATAAACGTAAAAGGGATTTTGAGCACTGTCCTAAGGGGGTATAAAAAGTATTTAGACCTCTCACAGCTAGAATTAAAATTTAAACCATTGTTTTTAAGCACATTTTTGAAACAAACTTATCTTTAAGGCATTTCAAAATAAAATACAAATGTAGTTTCGGTCTGTAGCAATATTTTCCATTAACATAAAGTACAAATAATTGGAAACTTATAACGAAATACAATTAAGTGGAATAGAATACAGCGGCGCGCATATATAAGTATAGTAATTATTAAGTATGTAATAAAATTAATCAATTTGTGTTTGTGTGAAAACTGGATGAACTAAGAAGCTACAAACGTGAGTGCATTTATGTGGGCGTGTTCACTACAAACTAATGCTGTGCGGAGCTGAATCTCATTTGAATCGTTTTTGTTTAATTATTGTTATCATTATTATAATTATTATATTATCAACTGAGTCTTCAACCGTGACGTCATATAAGATGCATTTACTTCTTCTTCTTTTTAGCATTGGAGCTGGTTGCAACCACCTCATTTTTGCGCTTCTGATTCGCCTTCGGCTGCGGCGGCGGCGCTGGTGTGTTTGTGCTGCTGCCGCCCGGTGTTTTGGGCGTTTTCTTTTTCTTCTCGGCACGCTCCTTTTCCTCCAGCTCAAGATTCTCGCGTTCAATAAGCGTTATCAGCGTATTACAGCGTCGTTGCAGCTCCAGCGCGGTGCGAGATTTAATAAACCAGTCAAAGCGAAACTGGGGTGACGCTCTGTAAGCCGCAAAGAACATGACATTAGACACATATATCCGAGGATAAGGCGGGACTGCTTACCTTATGGCCGCACGCAGCTCCTCGTAAACGTTCTCCTTGTCAAAGCCCAGCTTGTGCAGCATGCAAACCAAAAAACGATCCTCAATTTCTGTGTAGTTTTTGCCCTTGTTGTTGCCATACTGCAATCGCAGCTGATGGAACGGCGCGCGATAGCGAGACATCTGCAAGACACCAACAATCATTTAAACAAATAAGTAAAATTCAGCTACAATCAAAGAGACAAACGCACCTTCTGATCGAGAGCTTTTTTAATTGACAGGCGTCGCTGAATTTTGCCTTCGCCACGCTCAATTTGTCCCATAATTCGCTCAATATCTTGCAGTTCGGTGCAGCGCTCCCAGAACACAGCATTGTACTCGATGACCTCCTCGGGCGTCTTGCCCTCCACATCCTTGGCAATGTTCTCGATGTCGTCACGACCGTATTTCTCGTTCGCCTTGATGAACTGGTTAAAGTCACGTTTTGTCCAGGCTGTGAAGCCCTGCGACAGCAGATTTTCCTTCTCCTGAATCTCTTCTTCGGTGAGCGGCTCAGCCTCGTCAATTTTGCGCTGCTCCTCGCGCTGCACTTTGGTAGCCTCCGAGCCAAGCTCCGTGTTCTTGGGCACCTTATAGCCAACAGTCTTTCGGAAATAATAGATCTCCTGGTCTAGCAGCTCAAACAGACGCGGTGGAAAGAATTGAAAGTCCTGTACAATTGGCTGCTTGGGCGGACGCGGTGCCTTAGGCGCCTTTGGCTCAGAGACTCGCAATGCCTCACGGAAATAGGCATCCACAGCATAGTTAGCCTTTCGCTCGCGCTTGGGCGGCTCAATCCAGTTGCCCAACGCGTTCAGCTTTTGTTTCTCACGCCAATCCTCGCCCTCAAACTGATACACAGAGGAGGTGCCCGCCTCGCCGTTTGTGTCCATGGTAAAGGTGCGCAACGAGCTCTCACCCAAGCTATCTAGTTGAGCCTTCTGTTCTGCTGTTTTGGCCTCTCCGCGCTCCAGTATGACATCGATATCTTCGTCAGTGATGTCAGTCTCTTTGGAGCTGAATACCTGGTTGGCACCAAAGCGAATGATGTTCAGCATCTCGTCCTTATTGAGCTGGGCACGATTATCCACGAGACGACCGCCTTGAATAACCATTTTGTCCAGTCGCAGCTTCACCTCAGCTCGCTCCACAATCTTCTCCTCAACGGTGCTCTCGGTAATCAGGCGGAACACGCGTACCTGCTTCTTCTGGCCAATACGATGTGCACGATCCATGGCCTGTAGATCCATCTGCGGATTCCAGTCCGAATCATAGATGATGACCACATCAGCGGTGGCCAGATTGATGCCCAAGCCGCCAGCACGAGTTGACAACATAAATATAAATTTAGTACTGTTCTCCATGTTGTACTCCTGGATCTGACGATTACGATCCTCGTGCGGCGTCTGGCCATCCAAGCGGCAATAATTATAGTTACGCCAGTGACAATAATCCTCCAGAATATCCAACATGCGTGTCATCTGCGAGAAGATCAGCACACGCGAACCTTGCTCCTGCAGTTTTGGCAACAACTTGTCCAGGATGGCCATTTTGCCAGAGTTATAGACGAGATGCGTGTCTGTAGTGTATGGTGGTCCCGGCTCGGCGCCATCGAATAAATACGGATGATTGGTGCATTTGCGAAGCTGCATCAAGATGTTCTGAAGTCGCATTTTCTCCACTTTACCAGCACCGTTAACGATGTCAATGTCCTTCAATAGCACCTTGGTATACCAGTCCCGCTGCATTTTCGACAGACCAACGAAAATTTTCAGTTCCTTCTTGGGCTTTAAGCGCTTCTCCACCTCCGCCTTAAGACGACGCAATAGGAAAGGCTTGAGCACAGCGTGCAGGCGAGTGACCAGAGCATCATCACCCAGGCAGGTATTTGTATTGAACCACTCGTCAAAGTCCTCCGAGGAGTTAAACACGTCCGGTAAGAGGAAATTGAGCAGCGCCCACAACTCATGCAAATTGTTTTGCAGTGGGGTGCCCGTAATAAGCAGACGATTGGCCGTTTTAAACTCGCGCAGAATTTCTGAGAGCTTCGACTTTTCGTTCTTGATCCGATGCGCCTCATCGATAACCATGTAACGCCAATTGAACTTCTTGAATACAGACTTCTCGCGTATGCACATCTCGTATGAGGTAACGCAAACATCCCAATCGCCCGGCAGGAGAACGTCGCGTATGAAGGTGTTTCTCGTATCCTGGTCACCAATTAGACAGACGGCGTGCAGCGATGGGCACCACTTCTTAAACTCATTTACCCAATTCTGTAGCGTCGACTTGGGCACAATTACAATGTGCGGTCCGGCTTGGTTTCTATGGAGTGCCGTGACGTCAAAAGGTATATCGTTCATTGATTATGTCATGAGTACTTACTTGAAATGCTTGAGATAGCCAAGCAGCGAGATGGTCTGCAGCGTTTTGCCCAGACCCATTTCATCGGCCAGGATGCCGTTGATGCCATTCTCGTAGAGCGATATCATCCAGTTTAGGCCACGTACCTGGTAGTCACGCATTTCGCCACCTTTGATATATGCGGGCGAAGCATCGAAACGAAATAATTCCTTGGTTGCCGAATCCTCGGCGAGCAGCTCTTCATCCTCCTCTTGCTCTGTTTTGCGATGTCGATGGCTGCGCCAAGCAAGTTAACAATTACTTGAGAGGATCAAGAGAAAAGACCGATGAATCACTTACTCGGCCACATCCTTATCCTTGTCTTTGTCCTTGTTTTTCTTGGGTCGGCCCTTGGGCTTGGTGGGACTTTTTGCACTGTTTGTCATAAAATGGGTAAAAATCTCCGTTTGCTTTAGCAGATAATCGAAGCGTCTGCTGCGATCAACCTCGATTTTATTGTCAAACTCAGCCTCCTTTTCGCCCGAAGAGCTGGTTGCCGCCTCCGAGGTGGTCTCATTCTGCCGGAACGTACAGGGAAAATTATTAACAAACATCTATACGAAGCGGCATGCGGCGTCTGCTCCTTGGCATGGAAAATTTTGCAAACGCTGGCTTTGTTATTTTCACTTACCGAGTTCTCCTCGTTGGTTTCCACAGTGGCGGCATCTGTTTTCGACATATTAACAATGTCGCTCGTTTAATTTCTATGGTAAAATTATAAATTATTGAGTTTTCCAAATTATTTTGGACAAGCGAGAGCGTTGCGCGTCTGTATGTGTGAGCAGCAGCGGGAAAAAGTGGCGTTTTGCGGGGTTGCGTTGAAGACGATTCATCGATAGTTTACTAACATTGCAAAAGTTATCGATAACCAGGGCTGCTAATTTCAGTTAGTTTTACAACACCGAGCTAAATATAAGCAAGTTTTCGCGCCAATTTTGTTCAACTATATATTATTTTGTTTATACATTTGCTTTTCTTTTGCGATCTTAATAGTAATGCCTGTTTAATTGTATTTGGTTAAGAACATAATAAAATCAAGTTTCTTTTTAACATATAAATAACGTAGGATTTCACTAGTGGAAAGTTGTATGAATGTAAATAAATAAATGGTAAATGGCTTCTGGTAACTTGGGTTGATTCAAAGCCCTTTCGATTTTAGCTGGTATCTTTTGACGTCATCTCACCATAATTGATACCCTTACGCTGACGCTTGGGCGGCTCAATCCAATGGTCCATTTGACTACTCTTTCGCTTTGCGCGCCAATCCTCGCCTTCAAACTGATATACAGAGGAGGTGCCCGCCTCGCTGCTTGTGTCCATGGTGAAGTGGCGTAGAGAGCTCTCGCCCAGCTTATCTAGTCTGGCCTTTTGTTCGGCTGTTTTCGCTTCTCCACGCTCCAGTATGACATCGATGTCCTCGTCCATGTTGTTCATGTCCATGTTGTTGAATATATCCTTTGCACCAAAACGGATGATATTCAAAATTTCATCTTTACCGGGCTGGGTGTGATTTTCAAGCACACGACCGGCTTGGATAACCATTCTATCCAAACGTAGCTTGACTTCTGCCCGCTCCACAATCTTCTCGTCGACGGTGTTCTCCGTCACTAGACGGAACACGCGCACCTGTTTTTTCTGACCAATACGATGTGCACGATCCATGGCCTGTAGATCCATCTGCGGATTCCAGTCCGAATCATAGATGATGACCACATCAGCGGTGGCCAAATTGATGCCCAAGCCGCCAGCACGAGTTGACAATAGGAATATAAATTTAGTGCTCTTCTCCATGTTGTATTCCTGGATCATTTGATTACGGTCCTCGTGCTCCGTCTTGCCATCCAAGCGGCAATAATTATAGTTACGCCAGGCGCAATAATCCTCCAGAATGTCCAGCATGCGTGTCATCTGCGAAAAGATCAACACACGAGAGCCCTGCTCCTGCAGCTTTGGCAGCAACTTGTCCAAAATGATCATTTTGCCTGAGTCGTTCACCAAATGCTCGTCCGTCGTGTAGGGCGGTCCAGGTTCGGCACCATCAAACAAATAGGGATGATTGGTGCATTTACGCAGATGAACCAAGATGTTCTGAAGTCGCATTTTCTCTATTTTGCCAGCTCCGTTAACGACGTCAATGTCCTTGAGCAAAAGCTTAGTATACCACTCGCGTTGCAATTTGGACATACCCACGAAGATCTTGGTCTCTTTCTTGGGCTTCAAACTCTTCTCCACCTCCGACTTCAGGCGACGCAATAGAAACGGCTTCAGCACAGCGTGCAGACGTGAGACCAGCGTCTCATCGCCCAAACAGGAGTTTGTGTTAAACCACTCATCGAAATCCTCCGAGGAGTTAAACACATCTGGCAACAGGAAATTGAGCAGCGCCCACAGCTCATGCAAATTGTTCTGCAAAGGGGTGCCCGTGAGGAGTAACCGATTGGCCGAGTTGAACTCGCGTATAATCTCCGCAAGCTTCGTTTTTTCGTTCTTAATACGATGTGCCTCATCCATGACCAGGTACTGCCAGTGGAAACTTTTTAGGGCGCTCTTCTCACGCAAGCACATCTCGTAGGAGGTGATGCACACATCCCAATTGCCAGACACCAGCACGTCGCGTATAAAGGTCTTGCGACTTTTCAAGTCGCCAATCAGACAAACGGCGTTGAGTGAGGGGCACCAATGCTTAAACTCGTTCATCCAATTCTGCAAAGTCGACTTTGGTACGACAACCAAGTGCGGTCCAGATTGGTTTCTGCAAACAAGGATTGCATTAAAACGTCGATACTTATTAGGTGCTTGTTTTACCACTCACTTAAAATGCTTGAGGTAGCCAATCAGCGAGACGGTCTGCAGCGTCTTGCCCAGACCCATTTCATCGGCCAAGATGCCGTTGATGCCATTCTCGTAGAGCGATATCATCCAGTTCAGGCCACGTATCTGATAGTCACGCATTTCGCCGCCTTCGATATATGCGGGCGAAGCATTAAAGTGTACTAGATTGTTGTTATTCGAATCCTCCGCCGCCCCATGATGCTGATCCTTTACCGATGAACGGCGTCGCTGTCTGTGCAATAGAAAGTTACTTTAGTTATTTGGGTTGTATTGAAAGGTTTTGCTTCACCTACTCAGGCTTCCCTTGCACCCTGGCCTTCGGTCTTCCCTTCCTGGCACGCCCCTTGCTGTCGGTGGGGCTCTCTGCGTTTGCATTCGCATTCGACATGAAATGCGCAAAGATCTCCGTTTGCTTAAGCAGACAATCGAAGCGCCTGTTGCGTGCACCTTCAATATTTTTTAAATAAGCCGCCTTAGCTTGCTTGAATTTTGAGGCTTCATCAGGCTCCGCTGAGTTAAGGATCTAACAAAATGCGCATGTAAAATACAGAAAAAAGAAAAAAACAACGGGATTTAGTCGAGAGAAAAAACGGGATCACTTCTGTTTTCTTTCGCTGCAGCTTACCACATTTTCTTTGTTTTCCTCCATTGCAGTGACATCTGTTTTAGACATATTTGTATCCGTTCAACAATTCGTATTTATTTAGTTTATATATTCAATATGCATTAAGCGAGTCGCTCGAAACGCGTCTGCAGCGGGAAAAAGCGGCGATTGTCAAACTTCATCGAAAATAGATATCGATATGAATACTCATTATCACAAAATGCGAGCGTTGCCAGCTTTTGTTACTTTTGGTGATTAGGATTCAGATTTATGATATTTAACAAATAAATAATAGTACACTGTTTTGAATTTTTCTTTTAATACAATGTATATTTATACGTTTTTCTACTCCAATAATGTCTGCCGTAAATTATTTTAGGCTAAGATGCATAAAATAGCCTGTTTTCCTACTTAAAAACAATTTAGCTGCAAGAGCCTCGAGTAATGTCTTTATTCAGTTAATGTCTTACTTTTTCTTGTTTATTATTATTATAAAATAGTTTCTAGTAAACTCCGTAATGTCTACGCATTTCGCACTGGTGGCCTGGAAATCAATCTTAGTTATGAATTAAGTGATCTCATAAATATTGAACTGTGGGTTTAATGACAACTGCATAATTACACAACTATTAATAAGCAGTGATTAGTAAAATAAGACAAATTAATTTTTAAGAATGCCCGAATTACCATTTGCAAACATATAGCCAGATTTTACGGTAAAGAAAATAATATGAAATTTACAACACCACAAGATTGTGATAATGATTAAGCACGCATTTAACAACACTGGTTGTGATCTAAACAACATACTTTTCGCCAATTCTTTAATAGTTTTTGGTAACGAAGTTTAAACTAAAATTGTAGGTTTTTTTTATATAAATCGGTATTATAAATTATACAAATCAACGTTTCGAGTATGTTTATGATTTATGCTAAATATGTATTTTCTACAAAATATATTTACAGTAGTTGACATAATAAAAAACCAAATTTTTACACGAGAATGTGCCTAGCGAAAGTTACAGTATTAATGCAAACCCCTAACGCTCTTTTAAAGATCATAGAAATGACATGATTATATGATGCATTGTTGTGTTGAGCACGATGATGCTCTTACTCCGTTCGACTCAACACACACGGAATGAAATGCAGCAAATTGTTGTGTTTTTGGAATACATATATATATATATATATACATATACATATATATGGGTAAAAATTTGGCCGCTTGCCACAGCGTCCAGTTTCACGTGTCGTCTATACAGAACCATTGCAGATATCACCAAGCATTTTTCCAGTACAGACTCAATTTCTCACGGAAAACAGTTGCGCAATTTTGCTCGCATGACACTTGCAGAATTCATAGCCTATTTTTGCTGTTCTCTTGAGCGCCTCCGATGTGCTGCCGGCGTTCGTGGTCGCAACGGCCACGTCGCCAAATTGAGAGGCAGCTGTTGTACTTTGTGAGGTTGTTGTCACCGACGTCAGCTGATCTTGCGGAAACATGCGACACAGCACGTAGTTAAAGCCATTCGACGCTTTGTTGCCGTTGACTTTGAACCGCTCAATGCCGAAGGCGCGTATGGCACGCGAAAAGCCAAATACTTGAGAGCTGATGTATGCACGCCGCACGGCCAGTGTGCGTCCGTCCTTTTGTTCGCTATAGACAACAATTTCATCCACTTTCTGGAAGGCAGGTGTGTGTGTACGCATAAAGATATTTGTCGCACCTTGTGTCACCCTGTGATGTCAAAGTCCACTTACCATTATCTTCTTCATACCTAGATTGCGGGTAAATGTTGTAAAAGTCTTCTTCACTGGATCCAGCACTGAGTCCTCAACAATCTTGACCGGCAAATTGTTGTAGAACCGTGCGCCCCATTTGGGCACCGGATTCGTTTTGGATAGCAAACGGCGTGAATACAATTTACCATCGCGCACTTCACGCTTGATGGTGTCTTCGGTAAGAACATGAGTGCTGCACAAAATGAAACGATAAGGTCAACTAAGTTATGGTTGTTAATGGTAGAAGGCAGCACACACCTGGACGGATTCGGATAACGGTTCCAATAGGCAGAAACAACATGCTTCCAGCTATAGTCGAACACCGTCTCCGTGCGGCAAGTGGACGCAGTGACTACCATGACGACACAATACTGTTTGCCTCAAAAAATTGTAGGAGCTCTGCCAAAATGAAAGTGAAAATCACCGCATGCGCTTGCGTCCCTGAACTAAGAGAATAGACAGAATAGAAAGCATATGAGCCGCAGAGAAATCAATAGCTGAACATTGAAGGCTATAAATAGAGCCGGGACGATTCTCGAACGTACCTGCGATACGAATGTTACAAAGCTCCAAGATTGTGTGCGCTTCGCAATGCTTGTTTGTAGTTGTGTCCGTACCCCTATCGTTTCCCCCGAGGCCTACTCGTCCAGACTGAGAATTTTGATTTCTTTTGGCGTTGTGTAACTGCGTCACACACAGGGTGTCTCGCCCCGCCAACCAGAACTGTGTATGCCGATTGAAGCGATTTTTTGAATTGCCAATTGCCACAGCGGCTGTTTTTCGATTTTAACTACAGCTTTATGCTATTTGTTTTGTATTTCCTACTAATTTTGCTTAATAAAATTTCAATAATTAAGCCAATTAAACAAGCGACTAGCAGAGCTAACCGGAAACAGCTGAGTAGCTGCGTGAACAGTGCTGCATAGTACCACTAACCAAACAACATATGTTGTTTGGTTAGTGATAGTACGGCAATATTTATCGATGTATTCTGTAAGATAATCGATACTTGTGTCAAAATATTTTTGCTTTGGCACATCACTGGCTCTTTCGTACAGACTATTCCAGCGTAGACGCAGCTCAGCGCACGGCACAAATTATTTTAAACGCGAATTTATTATAAACTAAACGCATTTAAAATGGCATTCGGTGATGTTAAGACCCCACAAGGCCTCAAGGAGTTGAACAACTTCCTGGCCGACAACAGCTACATCAGCGGGTAAGCATATCTAGCATGTGCCTGCCAACTACTTGTGAGGTTATGCACGGTCAACACGTCGGCATAAAAATGTTCATTACATATGCTCAAATATATATATTTCTGATATTATTTTCTGTGCAGTTACACCCCCTCGAAGGCCGATTTGTCCGTGTTTGATGCCCTGGGCAAGGCACCAGCTGGCGACTACGCACATGTTGCTCGCTGGTACCGTCACATTGCCTCCTTCGAGGCAGGTGAGCGTTCCGCTTGGACCGGTGCTCCGCTACCACAATTGGCCGGCGCCAAGCCCACAGTGGCTGCTGCTGCCAAGCCAGCTGCTGATGATGACGATGACGTGGATCTATTCGGCTCCGATGAGGAGGATGATGCTGAGGCTGAGCGTATCAAGGCAGAACGCGTTGCCGCCTATGCTGCGAAGAAATCAAAGAAACCCGCGCTGATTGCCAAATCGTCTGTGCTGCTTGACGTGAAGCCATGGGATGATGAGACCGACATGAAGGAGATGGAGCGCCTTGTGCGCACCATCGAAATGGACGGTCTGCTGTGGGGCGCATCCAAACTGGTGCCCGTCGGCTATGGCATCAACAAACTGCAGATTATGTGCGTCATTGAAGACGAGAAGGTCTCCATTGATCTGCTGCAGGAGAAGATTGAGGAGTTCGAGGACTTCGTGCAGTCCGTCGATATTGCTGCCTTCAACAAGATCTAGGCGTTATACTCTTAAATGCAGCATTCAAAATAAAACACTAAGCAAAGCAATATGATGCAACTCGTATGTCTATCTCTTTCAGTCATGCAGCTTTTACAGCACCGAACGAAATTGTTGCCAATTGAACTCGACTATTTTTTAAAGCGGCAGTTGGCAACACTGTTGACCAAGTTCGTGTTCAAAGTTATTCCTTTTGAGCGAAAGCTTTTGGGCCTCAACAAAAGATGCAGCGCGCTCGCAACTCAGCTCAGTTACTCGCGGCACTTCCCAGCGTTCGATTCAACAGTATTTAGCTGAAAGATTTACTTTTCTTTGGAATTTTAATAAATAAATATTTACAATGACTATCAATAAATTGTGCTGCACTTTGGCTATAGGTGTTATCATGTGCCTGGGTTTTGCGGATCTGATACAAGCGCAGGGTAAGTGAAACCAAACGATTGGGCGTACAATTATTGATCAATTGGGCGACAAAATGCGCTCCAAAACATGTTTGTCAATATGATTTGAAATGCAAAACGGAAATACCTGCATGTGCATTTTATTGATGTTAATTAGCAGTCATTTTATTAACGACTGTAGCCCAATAGCTGGTTGCTTTCTTACCAATTCTTATAAAATGCACTACAGATCATAAAATTGCTCTTTTTGCATCCTTATTACAGATAAACTCCTGGATGAAGTGTGCCTAGGTTGCATCTGCGAGGCCATCAGCGGCTGTAATCAGACGAGTTACTGCGCCGACGGCGTCTGTGGCCCATTTCGCATCACTTGGGCCTACTGGGCGGATGGCGGCAAGCTGATCCTGAATAACGAAAGTCCCCAGTCGGAGGAGGGTAAATATAAACCACAAATATACTACTTCGCCTTAATTAACTCCTTCTCCATGCCTACCCAAGCCTTTGCCAACTGCGTCAACGATCCCCATTGCGCGGCCAACACCGTCCAGAACTACATGAACAAGTTTGGACAGGATTGCAATGGCGATGGCATCGTGGATTGCTACGACTATGCATCCATACACAAGCTGGGTGGCTTTGGCTGCAAGGGCGAACTGACACAACAATATAAGACCTCACTGGATGAGTGCATCAAGGCACACTCGAACATTGATGTGCGCATATTGTAATAATTAAATTAAAGCGAGTTCCAATAGTTAATGAAATAACAACTGACAAAACGACTCATTGATGAGACGCAATGTATAAATATTGCAGTAGATAACGAATAATCCACGTAGTTGATTGTCGGATTCTCATGAGCATATTGTATGCTTGTAAAAACCAGTTTATTTCATATAGTATAAAATTCAGAAAAAATTAATAAATATATTATGTAGGTTTTGAAATTATTATTATTAAAAGTTATTCACTCATAACTATTCGGTTATGTGAGCGGCGAATCTTTTTGAAATATTTACTTATTGTGTAATCTCTCATGTTTCAAATCTTTTAGCAAAAGCTTTTAATTTGACTTGTTCGGCCCACTGTGCGCTGCCCAAGTTCGTGTTCGAAGTTATTCCTTTTGAGCAAAAGCTTTTGGGCCCCATCAAAATATTGCAGCGCGTTTGCAACTTAACTCAGTTACTCGCGGGACGTCCCAGCATTCGATTCAACAGCAACATACGAAAGCTATAAACAGTTGCTTAGAACTTTAATAAATATCAATAATAAACATTTACAATGACTACCAATAAATTGTGCTGCACTTTGGCTGTATGTGTTATCATGTGCCTGGGCCTTGCGGCTCTGATACAAGCGCAGGGTAAGTGAAACCAACCGAATGGGCGCAGAATTAATGATCAATTGGGCGACAAAATGCGCCCCAAATATGTTGAAGCTGATTTAAAATGCAAAAAATAAATACGTGCATTTCCAATTTATTAAAATTAATTGGCAGTCATGTGATTAGAAGATTCATATATTTTTCTGAACGTTCGTTAATTATAAATAGTAAATGCATTACAGATCATATATTTGCTTATCAGCGTTCAACTGAATTATCAACGAACTGTTCGCACCCTTATTACAGATAAGCTGGTGAATCAAGTTTGCCTGGGTTGCCTGTGCGAAGCCGTCAGCGGCTGTAATCAGACACGTGCCTGCGGCGGCGGCGCCTGTGGCCTCTTTCACATCACCAGGGCCTACTGGGCGGATGGAGGCAAGCTGACTCTGAACAACGAAAGTCCCCAGTCGGAGGAGGGTAAATAATTAACACAAATATATTAATTTTTATTCTTGTTAAACTCCTGTTCTCTCCCCCATTCTCGCTCCTCTCTCCATTAGCCTTTGCCAACTGCGTCAACGATCCCTATTGCGCAGCGGACACCATTCAGAACTACATGACCAAGTTTGGACAGGATTGCAATGGCGATGGCATCGTGGATTGCTACGATTATGCGGCCATACACAAGCTGGGTGGCTTTGGCTGCAAGGGCGAACTGACACAACAATATAAGACCTCACTGGATGAGTGCATCAAGGCACACTCGAACATTGATGTGCGCATATTGCATTAAGCTATATAATCTACGGGCTTTTATTTTGATTATTTACATGCAATTGTGAGCTGAAATTTGCATCTTGAATCTTTTGAAGTATGCAGGAACCCGTATTAACAGAAAAACAATTATTTGTTTTAATTTAAAGCGAGGTGCAATATAGACAATAAATTAGCAGCTGACAAAAACACTTCCAAAAGAGGCGCAATTGAATGCCGAAATGTGAAATGATAAGAATTTAGATATGTCTTATTAAATTAAGAAAAATGGCACAATTTAACACAAATCTACTAAAAATAAACATTTAGTGACCAAGGCCCAACAAAAAACATTATATTTGCAAAAGCCCACAGATATTTCTCTATATATAACAAAGTGCTTTCATTGGCCCGACTATGACATATGTAATGCCTGCTTGAAATAAAGCTATATTAACTCAGCCTTTGATATACATTTTTCAACTAAAAGAAAAGTTTCCAATTTTTGTTTTGTTGCCTCAGGATAATCAATGTGCCGAAAAGCTTATTAAAGCTTCAGAGAAAGCTTGATAAAGCTTCTGGAAAAAATACAGGCGTATGAGTATATGCGCATCTGTGAGCTGCTAAAGCCAACATAAAATATTTGAGTAGGTGCGTTTTTATCATTTTTTAAATTATTAAAACTCAACAAAATCTGTGTAAGCAGACGCATTATAATATTTTTTTACATTACATTATTATATATATTTTTTTTTTATTTTGAATGTACAGCCTGACCCTAATCCACCGCAGTTCTTTTAATATGAATACCAAATGTTATTCCTTCATAACTGCTCGTTTATGTGACAGCAATACATATAATGGCTGGCTGATCTTTTTGAAATTTTCACTCATGGTGTAATCTCTCATGTTTCAAGTATGTTAGCAAAAGCTTTTATGTAAAGGCTAGTTAACCAGTTCGGCATACTATGCGCTGCCCAAGTTCGTGTTCAAAGTTATTCGTTTTGAGCAAAAGCTTTTTGGGCCGCTGGACAAAAGAGCGCAGCCCGTTCGCAAAGCAGCTCAGTTACTCGCGCTTCATCCCAGCGTTCGGTTCACAAGTAGACAGTGTTGTGAGAGCTTTTGGCATTTGTTTGAAATTTAAATAAATACAGTAAATTTTTCGGGCAATAAAACACAGACACATTAACAATGGCTGTCAATAAATTGTGCTGCACTTTGGCAATAGGTGCTATTCTGTGCCTGGGCTTTGCGGTTCTGATACAAGCGCAGGGTAAGTGAAACAAGCCAAATGGGGTACAAAATGTATTGTTCTTTTGGGCGAGAGATTCCGTCACACATGGCAGTCAATAGGTTTTCGGATGCGAAATGGAAATACCTGTCCACCAGATTCGTGAATTTCATTAACATTAATTAGCAATCATAGAAATACAAAATTTTTTTTGGCTTTAAATGTATATTATAATATGTGGAAAGAGTTGAGGCATATATCAATATATATTTTCCACTTCACACAAATGCGTTTTGCCAGCTCAATAGTTAATTTTATATCCGTCTGAGCTGGGAATGCATTAATAACAGCTGTGTAAGGGGCATTGACAGCGTATTCCTAACTACTTCCGATATTAATAGTTTATTCATTAAAGTTACATGAAGCGGAACCTAGCTAACAAATTGTTTGTACGATGCAATGATGAACAAATTGCACACCTATGCTAATTAATTGATTTAGCAGCTTAAATAATAACATTAACGATAGTTAAAGCGAGCTTAGTTTAAGCTAATGCTTTGGTCTTCAAATGCACACGAGGCTAATAGATTGCAGAATTTTCTGTCATTCCATACAACTATTCGAGTTGTTGTTTTATTGTGATCCGTTATCGCTAAATCCGGGAAAAAGTACGCCTTCTTGTGAAGTACTCGCGATTTACTCTGACGTATGTACTCAGTCCTCGCGTGTGTGTTAATCTCAGATTTTTCCAGTTATTACACATATTTTGGTGTGATTATATATGATATTTATAATGGGCTCAGTTACTAAGGCAACTAATTATAAGTGAAATAAAATAAAATTAGGGAAATGAATCATAGCTAAAATTTGCTTCAGCTATAAACTAATAGAAAAACTATAATAAATTAATAAAGTCATGCAAATGTTGACCCAAATTAGTAACTTTTTTTTTTGCTATTTTCAAGAGTTCGTCGAACCCGAAAATAAAAACCGCGCTATTTTTATGCGTGAGAATATCAAAATTATGTATAACAACAATTTTGAGGCACCCTCTAAAAGAAATACTCTTTATCTATAAGCCATTTAGATTTTCCTAAGTGTAGCAAGGCTCTTTTAAAGGTTTTTCAAGAGGCGACATTCATCATTTCGGAATAATACAAAATATAAAAAACATGTGCGACAAGTTCGGTTCGCCACGTGCATACGAAATAAGTAAAAATGGGCTCAATATCAATTTTTGCACTTAACAAGCAACATCTTGAGGCAACCTTGGACAGCCCACAAAAAAAAAAAAAAGAGAAATAATTAAAGAATATCGCAATTTACGGGGTTCGTGCTATGTCTTGATAAGGCACATTGACTCATACGCCCATGACAGCAGTTCGTTTTTATTTTTTTTTTTTTAGTTAAGAATAATAATAATAAGAAGAAGAAAAAAACAATTTAATCTTTAAAGATGTTGCCATTGAAAGTTGCAAAACTAGTTCGGGCCATGTCTGAGCGCCACACAGAATCCAACAGAATCCAACCGTTCAGGTTCATGGGCGTACGCGCAGCAGAATTTTATTAAAATTAGTGTGCTTTATTTTAATATCACAATCATATCAAAATATATATAGCTTAATTTAATGTATTTTATTGGCTCGACTTACACTATACATTTTTATTTGTTTGTTTTTGTTTACAATTCGAATTGAGTTAACAATTCTAAGAATATAAAACGATGATGTGTTTGAGCAAAAATGTGAAACGAACAAAATTCCAGTTTCATTGTGCCTCGAAAGCTGCGTTGCGTTATTTGCAAACGATTCATAAATTTATAGGTCATCCATATGCTTATCACCCTAGCAGTGAATAGTCAACTGATACTCTTTGCTCCCCTTGCCCGCTATTTCACAGATAAGCCCGTGACAGACGTGTGCCTGGGCTGCATCTGCGAGGCCATCAGCGGCTGTAATCAGACCCGTTTCTGCGGCGGAGGGGTCTGTGGCCTGTTTCGCATCACTTGGGCCTACTGGGCGGATGGCGGCAAGCTGACCCTGAACAACGAAAGTCCCCAGTCGGAGGAGGGTAAATATAAACCACAAATATACTACTTCGCCTTAATTAACTCCTTCTCCATGCCTACCCAAGCCTTTGCCAACTGCGTCAACGATCCCTATTGCGCGGCCAACACCATCCAGAACTACATGACCAAGTTTGGACAGGATTGCAACGGCGATGGCGGCATCGATTGCTACGACTACGCGGCCATACACAAGCTGGGCGGCTATGGCTGCAAGGGCGAGCTGAGCTATCAATATCAGAGCGCCCTGGACAAGTGCCTGTCCACCTTCTCTTCCATAGATGTGCGCACAACGGGTTAAGCTATATTATCTACGAGTATATACTTTAATTATTTATATGCAGCTACAAGTTGGAATTTGTATACTTTAATCGTGTGAATTGTGCAAAAACCGTATAAAAATAACTAAAACTTTTATAATAATAAACGAAAACTATACGATATATTGGCGAGCAGAGAAGAGGACTTTATGGAAAGTTTTAAAATTTTCTAGAGATGTCAGATAGGAAGTAATGCAAAGCAGAAGATGAAGAGTTATCATCTGTTAGCCTGGCATGAATGTCTATCCTAGTATCTATCGATACTGATAGGATTTTGACCATATTTAGGGAGCAAAGTCTCAGTGTTGTCAGTTTGCTCAATTCCCGACTGATCCTATCCCTATATAATAAATAATGGTTCGATAAACCCGACTTCAAAATGTCTACTGCTTGTCAGAAAACGGTAAATCTCTGTCAAATTATATTACAAAAGCTTTAAGACTCAGCGATAGCTATGTTTAATGAGCTCATCAACCAGATATATAAAATATATATTTTATCAGCTCAAAGATGTTCTCTTCAATGGAGTCACACACTTTGTGACTAAGCTACCAAGCCCAATGCATTTAAAAGAAAGCTTTAATTTTTGACAAGTAACGGTTAAGGCAAAAGCTTTCGCTGGGTTTGGGGCTTGGGTCAAAGCTTTTTGCATGTGAGTAGCTAAGTTCAAGACTATTCCGGCTAGTCGAAGCTTTAACCAAAGTACTCGGCTATGAGATACCCTAGGCAAAAATAGCAAGTCTCAGACATAGCTCCATGAGCAGAGAGGCACAGCCAGAGTCAAGCTTTATACGCCATAAAAACATATCAATGTGATTTTATTTAAAGTATTTTCTGTTAACCGAGCTGGAGTTGAGCTGCCCTGTCACCCCAGAGAGCGCATCTGAGTGCATCGCCGATTGGTTTCACTCGTTCAAATTGGCCCTAAGAACCGGTATTATAGACATTTGTCGGGGTTCGACAACGATGCGTTTCAACCTCGTTGCATTTACTTCTCAGTTGCGGAAGTGTTAGAACGTGCTACAATCTCTAACATCTCGCCGTATACGAAGCTGTTTCCCCGGTCGATTCATTTATAAAAATGCAAATCTTGCGGCTTTTGTGCCTGTGCTTGGCCTGCCTGCTGCCTTGCGGTCGGGTGCATGGTCAGGGTAAGTTCCGATTCCGATAATGTATATTTGTTACAATCAAAACATATGCTTATTAGGGCACTTGCTGGACAAGCCCGTGACGGAGCTGTGCCTCAACTGCATTTGCGAGGCAATGTCCGGCTGCAATGCGACTGCTATATGCACCAACCCGGAGAAGGGCATCTGCGGCATCTTTCGCATCACCTGGGCGTATTGGGTGGACGCTGGCAAGTTGACCATTGATGGCGATCAACCCGATTCGGAGGATGCGTTTATCAATTGCGCCAACGATCCACACTGCGCCGCCAACAGCGTCCAGAACTACATGAAGAAGTTCAATCAGGACTGCAACGATGATGGCGAAATGGATTGCCATGACTATGCCCGCATACACAGGCTGGGCGCATATGGCTGCAAGGGCGAAATGCCCTACAAGTACCTGAGCACCTTCGAAGACTGCATTGAGAACTACGCGGATCAGGGCTTCGAGTAGCGGCCATAGACAAATACCCACAATAATATTAAACACATAATTGGTATTGCTTTCAATTTAACGGTTGGTATCGGTTATAGCTGATAATTATTAAATGAGAATTGTAAATCGGCAGGAATATGGCTTATATTAAATGTATTTTTCGTCTTTAAAATATAGTTCAAAGAAGGCGTCTTTTAAGCTAACGCTTCGTATTAGTTATCAATAGTTATGGAATTACAAAATAGTACGGGCTTATCTTAGAATATATAAAAATTGTGAATTATGAATTGGTTAAGGAAATTATATGCGAGATTATTGGGCAAATTTGTTGTTATAGGGTGTAAGCCGGTTTAAAAAGATAGTAGAAAAACAAGTAAGAGTTTCTAGTCGGGAGCTCCCGACTAGGGGATACCCTGAACCCTCTTCCTTCAACATCAAATGCATACATATATTTTATTTTAGAAGCTATATGTCAAGTTTGGTGACTCTCGCTCTTATTATTTACCAAAATTGCCAAAAAAAAAAAACAGGATATCGATATCGATCGCTTGGAAACGGAGTTAGTTATCGATTATCGGAAATAAACTCGATCCGCGCGGGAACTAGGAGCACCTACATCTAAAATTTCAAGTCTCTAGCTCTTATAGGTTCTGAGATCCTTGCGTTCATACATACGGACGGACGGACGGACGGACGGACAGACAGACGGACGGAAGGACGGACTTTAGATGCTTCCTTCTGCCTGTTACATACATTTGGATTTCGCACAAATACAATATACCCTTATACCCATTTTTAATGGGTTCAGGGTATAATGAATGTAACAAGGTTTTATAGAACGGCTGAAATATTCAAACTAATGCTAAAGCGTGAGGCGGTTATTTTTAAATGTTTGCAGACAAACCTATAAATAATCTAAAGAACAATCTATTCTAGGCAATATAAGCCTAGGCATCTAACTGCCTTAATCTTAAACGATTAGTTGATGCATCAGTTAAAGAGCATGTCATTATTTAAGCATTTAACGTGGGTTAGAACAAACAATATTCGAAAAGTTTCAATTTCCTGAACTATAGCGCGGATAAATTGGTGTATAAAAAGCGTTTCGCTGCGTCGCACAATAAAAGTCCACAACAAACAGTCGCAAAATTTCAGTAGCTCGAGAACAGTCGAACGTAGCGAAACGGAAGTGAATTGGAAAAGTGCAGCATGCCTGGCAGCAAAAACTTGTTATATCTCTGCCTGCTCTTAACGGTGGGCGTGGCCTGGACTAAGGCCGAGACACAGCGACCCATCACAGAGACGTGTTTGGTGTGCATGTGTGAGGCGCTGAGCGGCTGCAATGGCACCGCGGTGTGTGTGAACGGGGCCTGCGGCCTGTTTCGCCTTACCTGGGATCAGTGGGTGGACTCGGGACGTCTGACAATACCGGGCGATTCACCGCTCTCGGACAGCTGTGAGTAGCAGCAGCTAGTTACAAATGGAGTTCATTATATTTGAATTGAATTTTCTGTGCAGCATTCACAAACTGCGCAAATGATCCACACTGTGCGGCAGATACACTGCAGCATTATATGGTTAAATATGGGCAGGATTGCAATGGGGATGAGCATGAGGATTGCTACGACTATGGCGCCATACACTATATGGGTCCATTCAATTGCCAAGCGGATATGCCCTATACCTACGAGAGCATCTTTAAAAGGTGTCTCAAGCGAGCGGAGAAGCAACAAAAACAGCAACAAGCAACAAATAACTGAGCGAATTTATTAATCTGTTATTGTGTCTATTTATTCTAGGAAAGTGAATTGTTTAACGAACTGTATATATCACATGGGGTTTTCCAAATAATTGAATTCAATTGTTATATAAGAAAATGAAAACTTTTTTTACACTGTTTGTTCTTATTTTAATGCCTTCACTTCCACCCAAGTCGCTCAGTCGTGCGCTAAGCGTGGCAAAGTCGACAACTCGGATATAAAATTGTGTCTTACACCTACGAACGTGGTCAACCAGCGGCTTAATTGAAAAACAATTAAAATGTTTAAAAGTCGCCGTGTTTTGTTGTGCAGTGTTTTTTCGTTCTGGGCTTTGCTTTGCTTGTGGCACATTGGCGCAGCGGATGATGGTAAAATTTTTAAAATAAACCAAAAAAAAAAAAACGTTTCCTGAATTTTTGAGAATTAACATAAAATGGAATTTGGCGACCTAGCTATTTTTTTTTAGAAATTATTTTCTTAAATATTTTGTTTGTGGACATTTTTTTAATTTCTTGAAAAGAACATGATTTGAGTAAACTCAAAAAAATAAATAAACATGTCCTGAGTTTTTGTAAGATGCATCAATTTTTTTTTTTTATTTAACGAAGTTTTCTAGCCTTTTTTTCATAAAGTTTTCATAAAATATAAATTTGAGGGTCTTTGCGACCTTTCCTTTGTTTTTATTAAGTAAATTCAATATTTTTTTTTGCAATTTTTTAAACGGTTAGAAAAACGTGATTTGCGTGTAACAAAATAGCAAAATAGCAATAGAAAAACGTGATTTGCGTGTAACAAAATAGCAGTCTTCGTTTTTTTGAAGGGACCATCAAAATTATGCAACTAAACAATAAGGTTTGCTAGTTCAAGCCCTTCGGTAGCGTTTGCTAGAAAGAAGTCCTTATTAGCCGATGCCAAATGCGAAACCAAGCCATCCGAAATCAATATTTGATTAACCATCAAAAGATGCAAACGGATTTGTAAGATATAGAATACCCGAACCTAAACTCAACTAAAATAATATCGGATTATTTTTTTAATATTGCAAAATATTGAAAGCGCACGAATTCTCGAATATTATTATTATTATTAATATATTTTATTATTGTTATTAGTTATATAATATTATTAATATTATATTGTTAATAATAAGATTATTAATATTATTATATTATTAATAATAATATCATTAATATCATGTGAAGCCAAAGCTTGATGTTCTTATTCGGAATAGATTATTTATATTTCAGAGTATTGAATTTTTGAAATTTGTTCAGGAAAATTAGACCTTGAAGTCTGGAAAACTTAAATGTTTAAATAAATATCTAAATTTATTATTAGATAATTAAGATGAGCTTCCAATATTAAGTTGTCTATTTTTTGTGAATATTAATTTTATCAATAACTACATGCAAATAATATTCTATTTCTGATGTTTGAAACCTTTTTTATGAGTAATGCCAAAATCTGCTATTGGGAGTCGCACTCGGTATCCGATGTCCTATAGCTCAGTGACTCAGTCACTTAAATTTTTAACCGCAATTTGAATGCATCACACACCACTGTGCCGCGACAGTGTGTGATAATTATCGGCATAGAATAGTATCTGTTTTGTAACTATGATAATGTGAACCGGCTATTGCTATAATATTTAATCGCATCTCGCGTATACTAGACGTAATTCAATGAAAAACTATCCAATATGCTAAACAACTCTTACTAAATGCGACCCCTTCTACTTACCCCTCCAGCTGCCGCGGGATTAGTTGTAAGCAGACCTGTCACGGAAGACTGCCTGGAATGTCTATGCGAGGCGCAAAGCGGCTGCAATGCGACACAGATCTGTGTGAATGGGGCGTGTGGCATCTTTCGGATCACTTGGGGCTTCTGGAAGGAAGGTGGTGCAATTACGTTGCCCAACGATACCTCACTGTCGAACGAGGGTGAGCATACAGATCCTTGCTGAGTATATCAGAGATAAAACTCCCACTCCACACAGCCTTTACGAACTGCGTGAACGATCCGCACTGTGCGGCAGACACAATTCAGAACTATATGTACAAGAACGGACAGGATTGCAATGGAGATAATGTCATCAATTGTCTGGACTTTGGTGCCATACACAAGATGGGCAATCTACGGTGCCAGGACGAGCTGCCCTACACCTATGGCCGGATCTTCAGCAGATGCCTGAAAAGAAAAGAGCGCGATGCCAAAAGGACGGCCAATCGAACAGATATTTAACTAAATAACTTTGTCTTTATTGGGTATTGGGTTTGTTTGTTTGTTTGTTTGTTTTTCGAAAACATTTAGTAATACACATTGCTTATGTTTGCCATTTGAACAACTTTCCAATATATGGGGCATAGTATCTATAGAACTATAGTTCAGTTATAGTTGTAGTTATAGTTATAGTACAATACATAGTATAGTATAGTATATATATGTTAGATAGTAGTATATTTGGTTTGTTATATGCAAAACTACTTTAGAATTCTTTTCAATAATTTAACACGTTCCAAATTGTTAACGCTCACTAAATACTTGTCTTTATGGGATTCAAAAGAGTTCTTAACATTAGATCGGTTTAATTTGTTCTCGTTTTCTTTTGCTTTAGCTACGCTTTTGCAGTTGGTTTGTTCCATTCGGGTTTAGTATTAAAATCTATTAGGCATAGAATTGAAGTTTGAGTGAATTGAGTTTTAATCTCTTTCGTTTTTATTTTTGAGTTTTGTATAACTTGAACCTTAAGTTTAGAATCTGTTTAAATTGTTAGTATTCATTAAAAACAATTGTTTGGAACAACCTTTCAACTTATGAGACAGATGAGTTTCTTAGACTTGACTGGCAGCAAAAGGGAAAAAAGAATTCTAAAAAACTTTTTTTTTAACTTTTATACGTGCTCTGTGGCTAAGGCAGAGTCACAAAAGTTATTAAAAAATATATATATATATGAAAAATAAAAGAAAAACTAAAAAAACTACAACAAAAAATTTGTTCTTTAAAATTGTTGCACTAAAAAACAATTTTTTGTGTGTTCAAATATTGTTTTTCTTTCGTTTTTTTTGGTTATATTGATTGTGTAAAAAATGAATTTGTTTACTGTACATACCGTTAAATGAAATAAATATCCTATAAATACAATCAAGCTCGTCTATGTGTGATGTGTGCATGGATGTGTGTGTCAGTGTGTGTCTCGTGTTTGCATAATGTCTGATATAATACAGATGCCAGTTATCGTTTGTAATTTGAACATTAACTTTGCACGTTAATTAACTTTATTTCTTATTATTGCCATCGTTTGCCAATAATAGCTCCTTGGCCTCCTTTTTGCCACGCTTCTTCTCCTCCTTGGCTTGCAGCTTGGCCAGTCGCTCCTCCTCCTTGGCCAGGCGTTTCTCCTCCTGTCGTTAAATTAAATGCACAAAATGAGTTATAATAACCCGTTATATAAGCAGCAATATTATAACGTTATGCTTCTAATTAATGTTGGGCAAAATGTTAGTTTCCATCTCGCTGAATAAAGTCAGCTCTATGGGGTATATGCATTACTGACTATAATGGCACACATTTATGTTAGTCTGTCATATGTTTTATAAAACAACTAATATTTTAATTATAGGGTGTCTTCTAGTCACTACTTAACGTGTTGATCACAATATTTTGAAAGGTGCAGTTAACTGATCTAACTATTTTATTTGTTTTTAAAGGGTATCTGTTAGTCCATCAGTTACGACCTCAACATATGTATTATTGAAATATTTTGAGTTATTAATTGGGATTAATGGACATTTTCAGATCTGATTACAGGGTATCTATTGGTCTAAGACACCTATACGCTAGCTTTAAGCTGAAGAATATTAAAGCTTCACACAAATGAAGTCGCCAATTAATGCTGTCTAGATTTTTAAATTATTAACAGATTTCAGCTCTTTTACAGGGTATTGGATAGTCGCACATGTATTTAAAAATAATTTAAATGCTTCAGCATTTGTATATATATGCACCTAACAAGAGAAGGAACTTTAAGGAACTGAAAACACTCAAAAGCTGATTACTGGGTATCCTCAAGTCTATCAGGCATGAATGCAAGCTTTGCTTGTTTAACATGCTATAAATAGCAAGCTTAAAAAGTGCAACGCGCATTATGTGCTACTTTTTTGTTGCAGCTGCCTCCCCGCTTCCTGCTCGCCATCTGATTTGGATAGGCTGCGGTGGGGGAAGATGCGCTCGCCCCGAGCTTAATGAAAAAGTTTGCAGCGGCAGTGGCAGCGGAAGCAAACGAGGCCAATTATAAACAATGCGAATGGGCGCCGTGTGGCGCCCCCTGGCGTCGAAACAATAAAGTCTTATGCCCCACAATATGCAAGCGCAGCGAAAGAGTGAGAGAGTGAAAGAGATTAAAAGAGCACGGAAGAGTGCGGGGGTAACTCACCTTTCTGGCTTCCTTTTCAGCCTTCATCTTGAGCTTCTCCTCCTTTTTCTTGCGCTCCATGGATTCGTTCTTCTTGTTTTCGGCCTTTTCCTCTGCAAAATTGTTGAGCGGAACCTAATTAATTTTTGCGCCATCCTGGCGCCATCTATCGCGATCAACTTACTGTGATTGCTGCCGTTGCCGCCGCTGCTGCTGCCGTTGCCGCTGGAGAAGAGCGGAAAGCTGCGACTGGAAGCGGTTGTGTGTGGCTTGCCGCTGCCGCATGGGGCGGAGGCGGCGCCGCCACCCGCTGTGCATCCTGTCGTGGCCTTGGCGGCAGCCTGCCCCTTGCTAGTGGGCGGCACTGCGGCAAGCGACATCTTCTTATCCTTGGGCATCACATAGGCATTTTTGGGCAGCGAGTTTTTGGCGTTGAGCGGACAAATCTTGGCTCCACCTGCCTTAAGGGGCGGAGGGGCAAGCGCTGTGCAGCTTAGCTGTATATTCATGGGACTGGGGCGACGTGCCGGCGGCGGCGACGTGGACTCGCGCAGCAGTGGCGCCATCTCATGACCGCTCGACTTCGTGTAGGAAGCATATCTGCAGGAAATGAATAGATTGATTAATTGGCTAAGGCCATTCTGCACAGTATTAACCCACCGAAAACGCGGATTGCTGACATGCACCGGCGAAGGATGTGGCACTTTGGCTGGACTGCGAAACTCCTTGATGGGTGGCAGTCGATTCTGTAGATCCAGCATGCGGCTCTTCACGTGCCGCCGTCCCGGATAGGTATGTGTGGGCGTGGGCGTCATGCAGCCACTGCCGCTGCCGCTGCCAATGCCGCTGCTGCTGGATGAGGATGTGGAGGCGGAATTGCTCAGAGTGTGCAGCGGCTTGCGTGGCACAGCACCCGAGCAGCCGCTGGGACAGCCGCCATGATGCGAATGATGGGTGCCCGTATCTCGCGGCGACAGCGAACCAACGCTGGAACACGAGGAGGAGCCCGAGGGCGAGATCACCTGATGCTGATGCTGGTGCTGGTGCTGGTGCTGATGCTGATGCTGATGATGATGGTGTGTGCTGGGCAATGGCGGCGCCAGATGATTGGCACTGACTGCAAGCGCCGCCGCCGGCGAGGCTGGCGAGCAGGCACCGCTGCTCGATATGGAAGACGTCTTGGAGTAGTGCGAGTAGCCAGAGAACGTGGAGCCCGCTGAGCCGGTCGAGCTCATCGAGTACAGACTGTCCGATTGCGAGACACGTCCATGAGCGCCACGTGCTGTCGCTGCATAGTGGTGTCTTCCACCAGCAGCCGTATGCAGCGTGGGCTGGTGAAATGCGTGATGCTCGCTGTGCGCATCGTTCATGGAATAAGAGCTGGCCGAGGCCACCACGCCGCCAGCGTGTACACCCGCCGAGGCCCAGCTTTTGGCACCCATGGAATAACTACTAGCCGATTCCTGTATGCGCCAGCTGCCCGACGATGAAGTCAGTCGGTTCACCCGCGCCCGACAGATCACGCAACGCAGTGGCAGCAGTCTTTGAGCCACGGCGCTCTGTATGGTCTTCACAAAGCAGCGCCGGCAGACGACCCGATGGCCACAGGGCGAGGTCTGCATGGTAGCCCGCGCATTGATGCAGATCACGCATTCATCTTCCTGCGAGGTAGGCGGATCCGGTTCGCTTTCCTCCTCCAGCTTGCTCAGTAGCTTGTCCTGCAATGGCCAGAGAAAAAATAACTTCAGGGCGTGACAAAAGTTGCTTGGAAACGGCTTCCAATAGTCCCAGTAGATTGTGCATTGCATAGCATCAATTTGATACTCAAGCAAATTATTATTAGACTAAGCCGAAAAGTATGCAACACATTTTTTGGGCGTTGTTGGAAGTCAAACAATTTTTAGATGGCAAACTTATAAATTTATGAGAAGTCAACACATTTCTACGTTTGATATTATGTAGCTTATATTTTAGGCCTCTAGGATAATTTAGCTATACAATTTTGTTAGCCCTAATAAATTAATATAATATAACTTTTAAAATAACCTTACCCTTGTTGCACAAATTAATTTGATCTGCTTCTCGCAATAAATTTATCATAAGCATAATGCTGTTTTTTTTTTATTTCAATTGACAAAAGCTCAACAAAAAATTGATATGTAAAGTGGCAGAGCTCCTATTTACGCGCTACCAAAACTTGAAACTTCCCCAACTACGCCAACAACATATTAAAGAGCTATTTTCTGTGTTGAATATAAATATGACATTTTAATCAATATCTCATTTATCTGACGATGCGTAATCAAAGTTTTTAACAAATAATTTATATATTGGTTTTAATTTGTTTACAATTTACAGTTGCTTAATTGTAAATTATGTCAGAGTATGTTACCGGTCAAGGACGCAGCCGGAAGCCAATTGACACGCCTATAAAAAACTCACACAGCATCAATCGATGATAATAAATTTGAAATGTTTTTTGTTCAATCTACGCATTGGCTAACTGTATTTATACGATATGCAAATCTGTGAATTGGCGTCGATTTGATAGCCGATTTGATATCAAATTTGCCAATGGCGCTTTGGTTTTTGTTTGTCTTTTATCTCTTTTTTTTGCCGAGTGGGCGTGCGACCTCTGGCAGGTCATTATGCATTTATAAATAGTATAAAATATATTAAAGCTTTAAAGAATTGTTAAAATTCGCATTTTTTATGTTTTTTTTGTTGCTTTTTGATTGCATTTTTCTTATTGTTGGCTGTCATTAATTTTGTGAATCAGCAAGTATTTCTTTTAATTATTATTATACCCTTGTGGCGGGCATAATAAACATGTCGTGACATGTGTAACACGCTTAAGTAGCTACTTCCGACTTTTCGGAATCTTGTCTCGCGGCTGGAATGAGACTTCAAGACCTTATAATAGATGTCATGGGAACAAAGGTTAGATAATCATTCAAATCAATTATTTGTAAACTTTATATACTATATTTTATTTATAAGAGTATTGGGTCTTCGGCTATCCATAATACTATCAGTTATTTATAATATAAATTGATTGCGGTTGATTGTGGTAAATTGTTTTTTCTTTTTTATGGAAGTGCGCTATAGCTAGGCATAACTGTTGCGCTTACTGTAAATTTATAAATAAAAAATTGCATTAATGCGCGTGCAATGTACCTTTAAGAGCCTCACCTTTCAAGGCAAGCGGAAGTCATCAAATGCATTCATTCAGACTCCGAGCGAAGTTGTTGAACTGGTTTTCGGCCTAACTAATAGACTAGAACATAGAATGGGCCTTGCACTTGGCGGCTTTCAGGGCCAAGCCTCAAGGCTTGCCAATTGTTACCAATGGCCAATTAGCCATCGACTTAAAGCTCCAATCAATGTAAAAACCTCGAGAACA